ATATCCAAAGCGTCATGTCGTTGCCGGTTCTTCCCTACTCTTGGCTCCAATGGAAGCAGCGCGGTCGGTGTGAACTTATCCTGATGTGACAGGGTCCGCCCGTCGACTGCTTAGGAAGGTGATGGTGATGTCAACGTCATTCTCTTCAGATGTCGCTGGTATGACGATATAATCGCTGATAAGCTTGTGCGTCTTTTTGCGTGAAGTCTAAAATTAGCCAAAATATCTTGTGACGCTACTTCTCTCCATCGTAGTCGCAAAGCTCGGCCGCGATCTCGGCTTGAAGCTCCATGCGGCTATAAAATATCAGTGTAAGCTCGCCTTGTATTGGCTTTGGCAGTTGCTGGAAAGCTGAAATGTTGCCGGTCATGATGTAAGCGATGAATTTTACAGAAACTTCACAGTAACTGACAGTCGGGCTGCCATTGGTATTTATATGGGAAAAGAAGTAGGAGGTATTGTTTTTTCTCGCTAGAAAAGGGTCACGTACAATGAATTTTAGATTTTTCTGTTTACTCCGTGCAAAGCACTTGTGCTTGTTATTTATAAAATTAGGCAATTTATAAAAAATATTGAAACAGTTTTTAAATCTACCATTTTTCTGCCTGGGCTTATACTAGCCCGATCTGAAAACATCTTCGAGCACAATAACGCTTGTGTCGCTTAAGTTATCGGAGTATCAAGGAGCTTACTCAGACTCACGTAAGGTCTTAGCTATGGTCAAAAATGTGTAACAAATGCGATTTCTTTATACCATTCATCATTTTTGAAGATTTGAAGAACTTATTACGGAATGCTTTGTTTTTTAAATGTTCATTTGAACAGTTTTAAATCGTTGAGTAGTATAGTATTGTAGGGCTGTGTAGTTTCAAAATTGACCAAGATATTAAAAAAAAAAACAGTAAATAGTACTCTTGCCCATTTAAACCCATTTTCGGCTTAGAGGAATTTTTTTTTATCGAGATATCATTGAATGAAGTTAAGTCTTTTAGCAGTTGCGCAACAACGTTAAAATAATAAGTTACACGGGTTAAGGTAATTGAGATTCAGGGGTCTGGCATTATATGGTCATAGATTACAGGAGACGGAAGTTAACCCATTATTACCCAAACAAAATCCAGATCAGATAATACCAAACTAACCATTGGATCACTGTCAAGATGGAAACAAATTTACCCGTGTTTATTTTTTTTTTCAATTTCAATTGTTTAAATTGAAATTATTGAAACAAATTTAATAAAAATTTTACGGTTTCAAAAAAAAAGATAAAGCCAATCACTTCTACATTTAAAAATACTTTGAAAATCTCTATACCATTTTTCTGTCAGATTCTATTTTGTTCGAGTATTATTGTTAGAAAATAAAATATTTAGCTTTATTCGGAAATCAAGATATTATTTTAACTAATTGCACGAGACATTTAGGCATGATTTTTTGTAACCGATAGTTTAGGGTTAGGTTTAGGCAACAGATTATATGTACAAATTGCAAAGCTTTTAATAATTTATTTAAATAATTTCGCATGAACAATTGGAATTGTGTATAAAGTAAAAACAAATTTTTTATCCGTTTTGATAGTGATCCCATGATTAGTTTGGTGTTATCTGGCTTCGATTTTGCTTTGTTAATAATGGGTTACGGCAATTGGGGTTCAAGGGTCACAGGCTACAGGAGTCTGAGGTTGGGTTGGGTTAACAAATTTTCCGATTAAACGTGTGTTTCCATTTGAATTCTAAAAGTATTATTACTTTTATGTACTTATTTTGAAAATCTTTCTTAAGGCAACGGTTGTAAGAAAAAAAAATCTGAAACATATCCACAGTATTCTACGTAGAAAAATAACCATTTTTTTCTTATAGATTTTCTTAGATTATTTGAATATACGGAGTTATGGAAAGTTGGAAAAAAATATTAATTCCTAGGAAAAATGGTTGTCCGCACATCAAATTTGATGAAAATAATTGTTTAATGGGTAATTTAGATAAGATTTTAAAAGAGCTTTAAAATGATGTACTTCAAAGTCTTTTGCGATTTTTTCGATAATTTTTTCGAAAAATTTAGAAAAATATTTGATGGAATTTGTAGAAAGAGCTTTCAATTACGATCTTGCTGTAATTGTAAGTTACTTTTCGTCAAAGATATAAAACTTTAAATTTTAACCAATTCCACTCGTGGGAGGATAAAAGTACCTAGCCGGAACTGTATGCTAGGAGCAAGCGACACTTGCAAATTTGTATATTCGGCGGCAAAGTTGTTTGCACTTGTAGAAATTACGTTAAAGTGATAACAATTGTACTTAGACTCTTTATTGTATGGCGTTGCTTACGTCACAAGTAGTATCGCTCTTCCAAATTATTTTACGCGGTACACCGCATAAAATGGAGACAAGCAAAGAACGATACCGAATCAATAACGTTTTATTGAGAACTCGCGCATACGTTGCAGAGAAGCCATATACTATAACTGCGCATTGTGAAGTTGCTACACTGCGCACGACGTATGCGCAAAGGACAGCAATCAGGCTCTTGACGCCTCGTTGGGATCTCGCGCATATACTGCGCAGAAGCGCTGTATTGTACTGCGCTATGTGATACTGTGTATAATGCGCACAGGACATCACTTTGATAAAGGCCTTTCCAAACTGAGGGAATATTCCTGTAATCTTCTTATTCCGTGTGATTTTTCACTTCCCGGAACATTAATATAGTTCACCGTCTACCTCCCTATATACGTAATCAGTGGTTTAAGAAGTACAGAAGGCGCGAAAACATTTGGTCTTCTTAACTTTTTAAACCACACAGTATGTTCGCAGACGTATAGATGATCGACTGTACGAATATTCCGGGAGGCACAAAATCACACGGAACATCACAGGAATATTCCCTCGGTGTGGAAAGGCTATTAAGGCTCCGATTTCAACGTTTCAAGACAAAGATTGCTCCAAACGCGCACGGGCCATGCAGACAAATCGACCGCGCCCTCACTATGGACGGAACATTTTTCAGCTTGTGACGCTGTGACGTCATCCGCCAATACGGCGCACACTTTTGTTGAATATTCGAATATGAATTCCGCTTTTAGGCTAGATATATTTCAGATCATATCTAGTCTACATAATAGAAATTTATTTTTATTTTAATCGTTACGTCACAACGCTAAATCGTTTATTTATTTCCTTAATTATTTTAAAAATACGATTTAAGAAAAACTGTATGTACCCCTTTTCAAAGAGTTTTCAATTGAAAATATAATAGTCATTATATACAGCAGTGGTTTTGTTGTATATTAGTCGACGAATAAATTAACGTTATCAATATATATGTATAAATCACAAAAATACTGCGTACACACTTAATATCTCATTAGTATATGCAAACATTTACGGATTTTTTAAAACATTTAATAATAAATAAACCACCATTCAATTCTTCGATAGGCGTATTATTAACAAATATACAAACTATTTGCTCTATTTACAAGCGTTTTCAAATGAACTTCGATGAAAATTAAAAATATAGCAAGTCATTGCACGCAACCTACTATCGTATCGTAATGATGAATTTTCGACGTTTGAGATCAAACTGTGTATTACTTCGAAACTGATTTCACATGCTATTCGCAATTCATTACTCAACAGTAAATCGCAGAATCATTCAATAAAACATCGTGTGATATGAATTGTTTGAATAAACCATCATTTGTATTCGATTTAAGCTTTTCGTAGAGAAGAGGGCAGTTGCAGTTGATCGACATTTGCCGTTGTTATCGAATATCTCAACGATAAACTTTATATTTTCATGGCAACAAATATCTTAGTTTATTAGACACGCATGAAACACATTGGCAAGAACTTTTAGCCATATGTATAGTGCATTCATTTACCACCTGTGCAAAATCTTTGAGATTCATATGGCATGAAAATCTTTGACAACTCACGGGTAATGGTATTTATTTTTCAGTTCTGATGATTGGTACATTTTGGTGACTTCATCGATATTATTTAAGAGTGACACAGCTGATTGATACAAACATTTTCTTCAATAGATAACGAAAATGGCAACACGAGTTTTAACGTTTCAAGCATTAATTAATCCATCGCAAAGTGAAATCTTATCCATTGTAGCGAGTGACACAACACGCGTTAAGTCGATTATCACGATGTTGCTTGCAGGTAACTTGTTTTCACTACCGGCAGGTTTGCCATCACGAGCGAGAAAACAGCAATATTTGAATTGAATTAACGGTACGATAACTTGTGTGTAAAGCTGTAGCAAATCATTTAATGTAGCTATCTCGTTCGACTTATATCACATTATATCGGCTACAAATTAAGACGTACTTGATACACAGCAGCAAGTATATTTATATATAATAAACAAAAAAACGTTTATTACTATTATTGATCGTATTTATATATTTAACCTTTTTCTATTAACAGTAATTTCGAACAAATAGAATCGAAAAGTATGAGCAAAATTATAACACGAAAATAACGATCTTTTTAATTTGAGTAAAATATCCTTGGCTATAGTATAATATTATGGTTCACCAAAATAAAAAGATAAGATTAAAAAATGTAATTAATAGATTCAGTTAATAAAATTGTTGTGCAAGGTTCAATTTTAGTGCTTTTATAAAATACTTTTATAAAGAAATCAAATTAGATGAATAATCGATAAAATTAAAAACCATTGCATAAAAAAATAATTTCAAAATTCGTAATTGAACGAATTCATTTTGAAAATTATACTGTAAGCAACTTATTGGAAGCACATTGTACCTGATCAATAAATATATAATTTAAACTAATTTTCAAAATATTCAAAGAATGGGTAGAAATTTACGATAAAATATATTAAATTGAAACTAGCCTGTAGAAGTAATCATTTATTTATAATATCATACACAAAGATACAATAAAAGAAATTATCATGTGAATATATTTATAGCTCTATTGATTCAATGATTTCATACAAATTAAAATACAAATTAAAATAATTTCAAAGTTTTGAGACAAACGTACAAATAATTTCAGTCTGCAAGTTTATCGGTAGCATAGCTACGGATGTTTTAAAGTCCATTTCTTCGGTAAATAGCTTTTCAGCGTTCTTGAGAAAAAACTGGATCGTCTGCTTTTTCAATTCGTTCGCATTATTCTTATCGGCTAATAATAGAGTATCATAAACATTGTCGAGGTTTAGTTGTTTAACAAGAATATATTCACACCGCTGTTTGAGCGACTCTAACTGATACTTTTCCGCGACTGCTAGAACTTTGTCGGCGAGATCTTCGATATCGTTCAATTTACCGACATAAATAAAATACAATGTTTTTTCTATTACATCAGCTTCGACATCTTCAATGTGTACTCTTCCTTCATTGCTCTCACGCATTTTACTCTCGAACATTGCATGGAAGACGGGACTGATAGCAGCAAGAATAGCTCGATGAACACGAAATTCTCTCTTTTCAACGATAATTTTAAAATCACTGAACTGTCTATTATCGAACAATTTTTTCAAGATTTCCTCTGAATAATTATGAGCATATTGTACCTCTGTGAGCTTATCACGAGTATTTGCTTCGCCAATACAAATTTTACAAGCTATCTTCAATTCATTATTTGACAATAATTCCTGTCTATTCCATAAATCACTTCTCAGCACAAAATCTTCGAATATTCCATCAGATTTACTTATATTTTCATGAAACAATATAGCTTTTCTTGTAAAATGTCTTTCGTGATCTTGATCGAGTATAGAAATTTCAACTGTAAACTTCTTGTCTTTGTGTTTTTCTTTATTCCACAGATAAAAAACGATACCAATATAGTCCACATTTTTAAGATTGTAACCAGCGACGTAGATGTCCAAAGTCCATTCATATTCATAATTAAATCCAATAAAAATAGGTGGTGATTCGTGAGCGTGTCCAAACCCACTAACATTGTAACAATTTATGAAGTCTTTTATGAGCCAAATATATTCATACTCCATATTCGAATGTCTAAAGTGTGATACTTTTATCATTTCTCCAGTTCTTCTTGTAATAGACATTATTAATAAACAATTTCCAACACAAAGAATAAATAAGAATCGAAAGTTTTATAATACACTACAAAATTAAAAATCAACCTTTCCCTAATGCACAACTCGATGTGACTGATGCTACATATAACTTGAAATATTCTGGTTTTTGGTAACTCGCTACTTGATATCATTAAGTCACGTATATTCGATATGACATGAACTTTTCTGTAAATACGTAAAATATCTCTTCAGAGGATCTCGATAAATTCAATTTATTTTATGTAACGCGCGTTTAATATGTAAAGGGTTAAAAACGGTTTTCATCATTGTACTTGTATAATAAATCAACAGGTAAGCATAGTAGTTATGTAGCTACAGAAGTTGATCTTTGCTATGAACCAATTTTTTTAGACTTACAACGAAATAATTTTTTTACTACAATTTTGAAAATAGTTTGAAAAAGAGTTTGGTGATATATTGTCTGAACAGTATATTTGATAAATTTGTCGAATAATAAAACATTTCAAATAATTATCATTATAAAAATATTTTACTGTTCTACTTGATAATGATGTTATCTATAACAGTTGTATCTGAATCGTTTCTGAATAATACCCAGAATGAAGAAACGTTTACATAATGCTGAGTATTCATTAATTCATTATTGATGAAGAAATTTGCGAATAATTTAAAAAATGCTGATTAAATCAATGTCAAATATCAACATTAAACAATATTTATTTAGAATGAATAATATCTCAAATAGTAAAATGTTTGTAAACAAAATTTATTTTTGTCTAACTATGAAGAATGTATTTCAGAAATAATTAATGATAAATTTATAATAACGAAAAATATATTAAACAACTACGGAGTTTAATCTATCAAAGTATCAATTATGGCTGTTTTTATATCTTGAGATTTTTTAATTTTAGGATAGGTTAAGAACCTTTTAAAGGTTAATCTTATTCTTAATATTCTGAATATTATGATAAACGTTCATTAGATTCAGCTGCTGTGTAAGAATATCTGCGCACGACAAATTTTAACTTTTTGATTTATTGTATGTGTACAGAATTAAATAAAACTATATATGAGAATCAATTACACAAATAAGGTCAGTTTGCAAGACAGCAACGGCTTGAATCTTCGCATGAGGTAGTCTTTTAATATTTTTTAGGAAAAAATTGGTAGCCTCTTTTTATAATTTTTTCTCATAGTTTTAGTTAATCAATAAGAGTATCGTACATATTGTCGATTATAAGTTCATTAACGAGAATATTCTCACACGAATGCTTAAGCAAGTCGAGCTGTTTTTCGGCAGCTACAAGAACTCTATCAGCCATATTATCGATATCCTTTAACTTGCCGATGTATAAAATACAATACCTTTTCCGTGATGTCTGTTTCAACATCTTTAATGTGCATTCTTTCTTCGCTAGTTTTTTGCCTTGTGCTCTTGAATATTACATGAAAAACTGGACTTATGGTGAGAATCGTTTGATGAACGCAAAATTTTGTTTTGCTAATCATGAGTTTCAGTTCACTAAATTTTTTGTTATACAATTTCTTTCAGGTTTTTAATATAATTAATTTTTGCATATAATTAATTTTTGAATAATTAATATAATTAATTTTTGCAGCCTCATTAATAATAACTGGCCAACCAATCCCAATTCTTATAGCGATTTTAATTCATTATTATTTGGCACCAGACCTGGTTTATTTCATCTCTTTTTAACACAGAATCTTTAAATATTCCGTCAGATTTATTGAAATTTTTGTGAGTTAATTAAAGTAAATTTTCTGGTGATCTGCTTTTTGTGGTCTTGGTCGAGTACAGAAAGCTTAATTGCGAATTTCATATGTTGGTGCCTTTCTTTATTTCTTAAATGCGGGCACATACCCACATAATCAGCATTTTTGTAGTTGTAACCAGTGACGTACGTATCCAACGTACATTTATATTCACGATTTGGACTAATAAAAATTAGAACTGATTTGTGAATGTACCCAATACCATTAATATCATAACATTTTGTAAAGATTTTTTATACGCTAAGTATATTGATACCCCCACTCGCACACACTTTTCAAGAAAAGTAAAATTTACATGCGAGAGTAAACCACCGCTAATACCTAGAACCTAAAGACTGTTTCGAAATAAATTTTGTATCTGCAAGAACTGAAAAATGTTATTTTAATAGTAGATTACGTATTTAAGTCGGCAAAGTATTAGTAAGTTCGTAGCACGTGAGAATTGACAATCGAGGCGGAACCGAGTCGAGGTAAAAATACATCAATACTGTACTGACCCAAAGAAACCATTATTTAAAAAAAATCTATTAATAAAATTGCTTATAATTTTGAAATAAAATATTAGAAATAACAGTCAGATTGTCTACAATACTTTCATTAAATTTAACACGTAGTATCTAATATACATGATTCGGTAGTCTACTCGTACGAGATTTTCCTTTATAATAAGATATGTTGTGACGTTTACATTTGAATACACTCAAATTCATAATTGCACAACATTATATTTTGAAACTCCATATGTTATTATTGATATGGCCAGTGTTCAAAAGTGGTAGCTAGCACCGCCATCTATTACGTTACGATCGTCATTTTTCTGTTTTGGTAAGCTTAAAATAGTAAATTTTCGTATAATAATGTTATAAATCGGTTATGATTGTTTTATTAAATAACAATACATATAAAATCCACAGTAAGCTTTTTTTTTTGGTTTTTTTTTTAATTGTACATAGTAAGAGGTATTTTTATTTAAGGATACATCGGACAGTTATTTAATTTTTAGTTCAACATGTAGTGTATTATTATTGAGAATCTATCTCAAGTAACATGATCTACAAGTACACAGGCAACTATGCTTTCCTCAAAATCTCTTAGAATTTCAGGAAAAAATGTAGTATTCACCCGGTTTGATTTTAATTGTGGAATATCATTGCAGAAATAATCGGCGGTCATCTCATTTATTAAAAAAATTAGTTTAGTGAATTATAGTGAAGAGATATAATTCACAAAAACATGGTTAAAATTTCATAAAAATAATGCGATATTGATGAAAGAATATCTTTTATAAGAATGAGAGTTCTAGTAAAAGATATATGAGATTTTATCCGTTAATTTCAACCTAATTAGCAATAACATTGTCATTATTCTAAAAACAAATAATCGCGGCTTACAATTTTTCTGTCTAGATATTATTGGAAAAGCGAACAGATGAACATGGTGCATGAGTATTCGTAGATAAAAATTAAAAATTCAGTATTAAATACAATTCACGTAAAAATAGATTTTGCTTAAAGCTTAATTATTAAAAATAAATAAAAACACTTGGAAAATCACCCTTTTTGAATCAAAGCACGTATTATTTCTATCATCAAAGACCTTGAGAGTAACTGAAGTTCACTAGTGAAGTCCTCCATGGTCGAAAGCTCTTCAGAATGTCGATAGAAAAATTCCAAAGACTTTTTTTGGAGAATACTAGAATTATTTTCTTCAGCTAGACGAAGAGTGTCATAAATGTTTTGCATAGTCAGTCGTGCGGCAATAATATGTTCGCATATCTGTTTGAGGTCGTCGATCTGGTATCTTCTCGCGGCAATGAGTAGCTTATCCGCCATAGCTTCGATGTCTTCCAGTTCCTCTTTATAGATATAGCGAAGTAATTTGTCCATGATCATGGGTTCGATGTCGTGAAGTTCTACTTCAACCGCGTCGGTATCGAATGTTTTTTCGAAAATAACACTTCGAGCTGCTAGAATGGCGCGATGTACCTTAAATACTTTTCCTCCAACGACCAAATGGAAATCGGCGAATTTCATAAATTTAAATATTTTTCCGAGCGTGTCTGATTGGGGACAGACCGTATGTGACATATCCATTCGAGTATGCGTTGCGTTAGAAAATATTGTGCAGCCAATCTTCAAGTTGCCATCCGGCAAAAGCCGGGGGTTCTTTAATAATTCCTCTCGCGAAATCAATGTTCTAAATGTTAAGTATAACTTGTCATTCGCAAGTATTGCTGTTTTTTTTGCACAATGCGCACCATCTTCATCAATGATATAAGCCGAAATCATAAAAGGCAAATCATCGTAATATTCCATATTTACAAGTAGTATTTCGAGTCCGACGTAATCGAAAGATTCAGCATTCCAGCCTGCGCAGTAGAGATAAAACTCCCACTCGTATTCGTGATTTGGGCCTGTAGAGAACCTTGGCGATGTCTTCCAGAGGCCAATCTGATCTGGCTCGAAAGAAAAGTTGCGAAAATTCTTGATTAACCACGCACACTCGAATTCTTCCTTCAGTCGATGTACATTGCGTTTTTGCGTGATTAGCCCAAACGAAGGCATTTTTGTTGCCTGCATTTTTCGCAATAATCACGTTAACTTATCTATCACAAAATACGATGTAAGTTTGTAGAAGTTGAAATAACAGTCAAGTAAGAGAAGTACTTGTTATTGAAATCAAGATATTTTATGCACTAACGCTGACTGCTCTGGCTGACGGTTACTTTTGTTGTGCTCGCACGCCTAATCACGAAGTATTTATATATTATACGGATTAGATGCGATGCTCACTTACGACTATACGCATTCGTGTGTTTATTACAAAATTTCGATGTGTCGAATGAAGATCACGCTGAGAATACAAATTCAAATATCAAATTTAATTTACTTGGGGCTTATAAAAATGGTTGATTCAACTTAACTATTAAACTGTATTGACCATAATTTTTATTTTTGTTATATCCTACTTTGTTCTTTATCGCACACACATTTTTTTCTTTCCCAGCAATTTATAATTGATTTTTTAGGTACATATAAATTATTCATTCACCTTTTCTACAAATAAATAAAATTCTCGTACAATTAATACATATTTTCACGTTATTTAACTACTGCTATCACTGGAAAATAGCAACGAATACAATAACAATAATTGGCTCTTATTTCCTGTTTTTTACGATCAAAAATATGTTTTAATCATTTTTTTCA